CCCCCCCTGGTGGGACGTGCAGCGTATTTTAAAGCCGTTTGGATGCCATGCCTGTTAGTTCGGAGTTTCCGGATGCTTCCAAATGAAAGCGTGAGGTGGGGAGTGCCCTGCAGCTGCACGCATGGCCTGGATCGGTGACCCCGAAGAGGGTCCCTGGGCTCTGAGCAGTGAGGGGAGAGGAATCCCCATGGGTTCGCGGTGCCCCCCGAGGTGGGGATAGTGGTCAGTCTTCACCCCAGCCTGACTAACAGTCTCTCCTCTCTTTGCAGCTGTTTGCAGACAAGGTCCCCAAGACAGCAGGTTGGTAAAAGAAGCACTGGCCACGCTGTGGCTGCACCAAACCCCAGTGCTGTCCCTAACTCTGGACAAAATGAGCCGTTGATGATGGTTTTCCTCTTCCTTTGCAGAAAACTTCCGTGTCCTGAGCACTGGCGAGAAGGGCTTTGGCTACAAGGGGTCCTGCTTCCACAGAATCATTCCTGGGTTCATGTGCCAGGTGCGTGGTGCTTCCGCCACAGCAGGGAGGTGGGTGGGTGAGGAGATCTGGCGCTCACTTGGCTTTCAGAGTTGGGTGCTGGCTGATTGGGGGTGGGAAGGCACCTCTGCCTGCGGCCTCTGTGGGGCCGCTGCGCCTGGCTTGAGAGTTCTCTCCTGTGCCTGTGCCTTGAAATGCAACTTCTTTGCAGGGTGGTGACTTCACGCGCCACAACGGCACTGGCGGCAAATCCATCTATGGGGAGAAGTTCCCCGATGAGAACTTCATCCTGAAGCACACGGGCCCTGGCATCCTGTCCATGGCCAATGCCGGCCCCAACACAAATGGCTCCCAGTTCTTCATCTGCACTGCTAAGACTGAATGGTGAGTCAGGGGCTGTGGGAGGGTGAGCTCCGGGATCCCTGGTACCCACCCCGGTGAGGAGGTGACATGGCAGGCCTGGCACAGAGGTCCCTGCCTGGGGATGGCAGTTGCCAGCTGTGACTGGTGTTTCTTCTGCAGGTTGGATGGCAAGCATGTCGTCTTCGGCCGTGTCAAGGAAGGGATGAACGTGGTGGAGGCCATGGAGCGCTGTGGCTCCAAGGACGGCAAGACGAGCAAGAAGATCACCATTACCGACTGCGGGCAGCTCTCGTAAACCCTCCTCTCAACAACTGACCATTCCTTCGGCAGCCCGGGCGCCGTGCCCTGCTGCAGCTCACCCTGTCCCACCCTGCTCCTGACTTACTGCTGCGTTTCTACTGGGTCTTGGCCCCATGTGCACGGTCCAGCTGGGCCGCAGTTACCTTTGAGTCTAAATAAAACGAGTTAAACCTTCTCCCCCTTATTGGGGTGGGGGGG